GATATCTCATCTTGACCGAACACATGACTTATAATTATGTTTACCTGGCTTTTTTTAATAAAAACATTGATAACAATAATGCACTTGACTTATTTTATTGTATTTATGTTTATTATTTTTAATATTTTGTTTATCTAGATCTTTCATAGTTAGATTAAGTTTTGTTTCCTCCCAAACTACATATACACCCTTAATATTTGCAATCATTTATTTTTTCTCTCTCAGCTTACCTATGTGTTCAGAATGTTGTGTTTGTGTAACAAAATGAAAATCCAATAAATAAACGATTGAAAAAAACATAAAAACTTTTTTTACCTTGAAAGTCCACTGAAAGTGTTGGCATTATCCTGACTGAATCAGGCTTTAGAATAAAATCTCTCAATAAAACCGACTTTAAATCGCACTTTTTTCCTCCTTGGCTTTTAACTCGGAAGGAATGTTATCTGCATTTCATTTGTGCTTCTATAGTTGTTATTTTTTTTAAATCTACATTGCATTGTATATTTTCTAGCGATACGCAGTGGCAGCTTTTGTCCACGGGCGAACCAGGCCAGCCAAGCAGGTCAGCATTTTCTCCATCACACATAGAGGGGTTATACAAGTATTAAAAAAAAAATAAACTAGAAAATCATCAGCACTGCAGAAGCAGTTTTAAAAAAATCTATCATATCACTGTCTGGGGAATTGGCACCCTTTGCAGCTGCAGATGACCAGACACTGCTTGCATGAAAAAGAGGTCGCAGTCATGCACACCGCACAGATGCTGACAGGCTGTGGGCGGCTTTACAGAATGCACCAGATGTGGCTACAGAGGCTGTGTGGGCATGTGAAACTATCAACAATGCGCCCCTTTCACTCCTTCACCTCTCTCCTCTGAGTAGAAAAGGACATTAGTAAAGAAAATGGAAGAGGGAGTACAGTAGGATAAAGAAGTCACCCCGGAAGGGATTTAACATAGAGCCGCCCCTGCATATATGTGTTTAGTACAATACTTTGGTTAGCTTTTATTATGTTTTTAAATGTCTATATAAATAAAATAGAATTGAAGGTCTGATTTAGACTTTTCCACACAATACTATAACAAACAAAAGTATTTTTATTATACAGTAAATATTTGAATGCCCTAATAAGCTTATAATCCGACATTGCGAGAAACCCAGGGTATACCCTTAATAGATTACCACTATATATATTTACTTACAACTTCTTTTGTCAAATTAAAACCCACTAAGTCAATATTTAAAGGTGGTTTTAACCCAATAGGTCCCTAATCTAAGTTTATCATTTTTTTCTGGATTGTTGTTATTTATGTATTTTTGTCATTGATATTCACTAATTATTTGTTTAAAGTAATAATAACTCATAATTAGGACTGAAACAATGAATCGGATTGATCATGATTGACATGGTTTTGGTTCTGTTCAAGTTTTATCTCTGAGTTTTCATTGGTCTTTTTTCCATTTTGTATTCTAGGTATTTTTGATTGTATTTGAGTTCTTAGATATTTCTTGTTTGTCCTCTTGTGTCAGTCTCCTTTTCCCTAGCTGCCTTCTAGCCTCCTCTGTTCACACCTGCTCCCAATCTGCTAATTAGCCTGGTCTTTGTTTCTCTCTCCCATATACAGGTGCTGGTCATAAAATTAGAATATCATGAAAAAGTAGATTGATTTCAGTAATTCCATTTAAAAAGTGAAACTTGTATATTATATTCATACATTACATACAAACTCATATATTTCAGATGTTTATTTTGTTTAATTTTGATGATTACAAATGACAACAAATGAAAATCTCAAATTCATCATATCAGAAAATTAGAATATTGTGAAAAGGTTCAAAATTGATGGCCCCTGGTGCCACACTCTAATCAGCTAATTAACTCAAACCACCTGCAAAAGCCTTTAAATGGTCTTTCAGTCTAGTTCTATAGGCTACACAATCATGGGGAAGACTGCTGACTTGACAGTTGTCCAAAAGACGACCATCGACACCTTGCACAAGGAGGGCAAGACACAAAAGGTCATCGCTAAAGAGGCTGGCTGTTCACAGAGCTCAGTGTCCAAGCACATTAATAGAGAGGCGAAGGGAAGGAAAAGATGTGGTCGAAAAAAGTGTACAAGCAAGAGAGATAACCGCACCCTGGAGAGGATTGTGAAACAAAACCCATTCAAAAATGTGGGGGAGATTCACAAAGAGTGGACTGCAGCTGGAGTGAGTGCTTCAAGAACCACCACACACAGACGTATGAAAGACATGGGTTTCTGCTGTCGCATTCCTTGTGTCAAGCCACTCTTGAACCACAGACAGCGTCAGAAGCGTCTTGCCTGGGCTAAAGAGAAACAGGACTGGACTGCTGGTGAGTGGTCCAAAGTCATGTTCTCTGATGAAAGTAAATTTTGCATTTCCTTTGGAAATCAAGGTCCCAGAGTCTGGAGGAAAAGAAGAGAGGCACTTCATCCACGTTGCTTGAAGTCCAGTGTAAAGTTTCCACAGTCAGTGATGGTTTGGGGTGCCATGTCATCTGCTGGTGTTGGTCCATTGTGTTTTCTGAGGTCCAGGGTCAACGCAGCCACATACCAGGAAGTTTTAGAGCACTTCATGCTTCCTGCAGCTGACCAACTTTTTGGAGATGCAGATTTCATTTTCCAACAGGACTTGGCACCTGCACACAGTGCCAAAGCTACCAGTACCTGGTTGAAGGACCATGGTATCCCTGTTCTTAATTGGCCAGCAAACTCTCCTGACCTTAACCCCATAGAAAATCTATGGGGTATTGTGAAGAAGAAGATGCAATACACCAGACCCAACAATTCAGAAGAGCTAAAAGCCACTATTAGAGCAACCTGGGCTATCATAACACCTGAGCAGTGCCACAGACTGATCGACTCCATGCCACGCCGCATTGCTGCAGTAATACAGGCCAAAGGAGGCCCAACTAAATACTGAGTGCTGTACATGCTCATACTTTTCATGTTCATACTTTTCAGTTGGCCAACATTTCTATAAATCCTTTGTTTTTATTGGTCTTCAGTAATATTCTAATTTTCTGATATGATGAATTTGAGATTTTCATTTGTTGTCATTTGTAATCATCAAAATTAAACAAAATAAACATCTGAAATATATGAGTTTGTATGTAATGTATGAATATAATATACAAGTTTCACTTTTTAAATGGAATTACTGAAATCAATCTACTTTTTCATGATATTCTAATTTTATGACCAGCACCTGTAATCTCCTCCTGTTCAGTCAATCTTTGCTGGTTTGTCGTCTTGTTGTGAGTATTTCTGGTTTTCAGTAGTTTGGGATTTTTGTGGATTTATGTTTTTGGATTTTTGCTTCTGTTACCCTTTTTATTTTTAAATCTTCAAGAAACCACTTCTGCTTCAGTGTCTGCATATTGGTCCTGTCAAACCTCCCCCACTAGACAGTGATGAATCAGTTATTGAGATAATCGGTAAATAGTGTAGAAATCGTTTGTTAACTGGGGTATAGAGACTCTAAAACATGCTTTAAGGGCAGTAATTATATCAAAATTGCAACAAAAAAAAAATAGAAATATTTTTCATCTAAGATAAAAAATATTTATTTTTTTATCTGACAATATGCTCTATCCAGAACTCCTCAAGGGGAAAAGTTTCAGTTTCCTCTTTAAAGGAACCTTTGGCTATTCTAATTATTAATCAAAAATATGATCTACAGAATAATTGATTTGCAAAAGAATTGTTAGTTGCAGCTCTACTCATAATATATAACATTAAACATTTGGCAATTTCGACTAATATTTATCTTTTTTTTAATGTTAAATCTACATGTTTTAGTTGCTTTAAAAACAGATTTATTTTTTTATATTTAGGGAATATGTTATCCTTTATATCCTTTAAAGTCGTAGGGAAACGGTTGTTCCAACCGTTGCATTTCCGAATTCTCCCGAGTGCTGCACGAATTTACACAAGTGAATAAAGTGAATGGTCGATTATCAGCCAGTTAGCAACTCAGTGCTAGTAGGTTCCCAATGGGAAATTAGATTGGAACCAAGTAGCACTAAATTGGTGACTTAGAAATGACACTGTCAAGGAACGGTATGGACAGAGGAAACATGCAAGAGGAGGAGAGTTTAGTGTCGGAGGTCGTGGATGAGTCTCCTCCATCATCCATTTTCATTTAGAGGAGGAAAGCGGGGAGGAAGATGTTGTGGAAGAGGACGCCATGGCGGCAGAAGCTTGGTTTGGTGTAGAAGGCTTCCAGCCGTACATGTTTGAGCCCTTGCCTCGCAACGCTGCCAGTTCTGTTAGCTCTACGCCTGCTGAAGACACAGACGTCCATCCCCGTGAACACTGGGACGGAACTCAATGGGAATGGAAATGATTCTGATTTCTTATTTCAACAGTTGTATATATTAGCTGCAACATATTAATCAAGACGCTATGATCCAAAAAATTTGATTGACCAATGACCGTTGATCTATGATTGGCCGAATTTAGGTGTACAAGCTGACGTATAACTAACTGGCCTGCAGAAGATAACAAAGAAAACACAGATTCTAAGACATGATTTTTTTTTTTTTAAATAGAAATTTTCTAACTTTTGGGACAATATGGTCTGATAAAGAGTTTAAGCCTGAATAATTTGACATTTAAATAGGACTACCCTATGACTTTAAATTTCTTAAGTAAAAAGGCAACATCGCATTCAAAGTTAAATACCGTTTGATGTAAAGGCAAACAGTATACATGTTATGACTCAGAAGTAGGAAGTGAAGGTGACAGACCACAGCACTACCTGACACAAAAACCTTTCAACTTTCCCAGCATTACACTGAAGTCAGACAGTGTTTGACTAAATCTGTTTCCCTGCAAACTGATAATTTAGTCCAAACCCCTTGATCACTGTCTGATATCTGACATCTAGTTTTACATGAGAAATGTGATAGAATTAAAGATGTGTGAAGTTTGTTTTTAATAATGTAAATGGATAAATTAGGGTGATAATATTTAC